TTTGTTCTTTGTGGACTGCCTAATCTCAGGAAGACGGTGGAGAAAATGTTAGTAACACAGACTAAACTTGCAAGTCTGTTGTGTCTCTAGTTATTGCACAGAACAAAAAAAAAAAGCAAGGCAATATTTTTCCAGTGCTCAAAAATTATCATGCAATTCAGCATTGTCGATGAATGTGTGAAGCTCTGACATACATTTTGTTTCATTTTCAACTTCCTTTAACATTTAAATGAAAATATCAACCAATATTCCTGCCTGAACTTACTCCTTGTCCATCCATTCCAACCATCAGTTGGCTACTGGTACCAGGGATGGGGAAAAATCAATGAAAGCATTTTATGAGATGCAATGCACTTTATAGAATTCATCAGAAGACTATTGCCTACTTTACTATCATTTAAAATGGGGTGCTATGCACTCTTTATGTCAATACAGCTTGGAATAAATTTATGTACACACATACGCATATAATGCATACACCTTTTCCCCCAGAGAACAGGGCCTGGGCCACTGTGATGGGCAGTTTGGGAACACAAAGGACAGGGTCCCTGAGGAGCTAATGCTGGAGATGAGACCCCGTCTGGATAATGCAGGAGCCTGAATGCTAGACTCAGAGAGGGAGACAGATAGCTCCGAGTCACACAGCCAGGAAGTGGCAGAGCTGTTAATCAGAGGGGCGAGGAGGAGCCCTCCCTTCCATCCTGAGTCCTCTTCTCCCCTCTGCCCGCCAGGACTTGGTCTGCTTGTTTTGGGGGGCTGAGCTGGGCTTGTCTGAGATGAGGTTAACCCACCTCAGCCCTGGACTTCCACAGGCAGAGCTATTTGTCAGGTCTCTGAGTGCCAACTATTGGGGCATGGGCCTGATTAGTCCCTGTGGTATGGCAGATCTGGGGGGATTAATCAGGCTGGAGGCAGTGGGGGGAGGGGAGGCTGGGGATGGAAGGAGACAGAGGATGGAGGATGCCAGTGGCAAAGGGAGCACTCTGGGCACCAAGAGGGTCTTTGGACCTCTCCTTAGAAAGACAGCACTGGTGTGTAAATCACAGTGCTCAGGAAAGGGGCACTGGCCTGAGGTCCCCACAGAGGGGCCCTGGCTCCTATGCCTGGGTGTCACAGGTTAGACAGGGGTGGGAGATCGGGCCAGGTGGAGCAGGAGAGGACACCCTAGGGATCAGAGCAGACAGTGTTCCTGCCCTATCCCTCCTGGTGGCCCTGGGGTTGCCTGGGAGAACGTCAAGGCCATCACCCACCTGCTGCGCTGAGCTGACTCTTCAGGCAGGAGAGTCCCGAGGACTCCACTTCCAATGTGTCATCTTAGAAGCTGGGGACAGGGCTCCGCTCCAGGCAACATGCTTGCCTTTGAAAACGTGTTTCCACTGGGATGCAGGGAGCCCTTCTGGGGTTTGTTGTAAATGGAAAAGGCACCCACCCTGGATGCAATTACTCCAAAAGGCAATGCTGTGTCATGGCTGTTGAAGTCCTCAGCGCAGGCCTGGGCTAGTGAATCTGTGCTGATTTCACCCCCCAGCCTGGACAGGGTACAACCTGGATAACTGTACCTTGCAGGCCAGTTCCTATCGTCAGACCCCCAAGTCCTTTTTGGGTCCCCTGTGACACCACGGAAAGATCATGGGCTCTGGAATAAGCTGGCACCATGTCCACATCCCAGCATGGTCTCTAGCTCTGAGTGCGCCCTCCATATGGCTCTCTGTGCCTCAGCTTCCCCATCTCTAGAATGAAGATATAACAGCTTTTCCATCCCAGAGATCAGGGACAATGCAAGGAAGCCATGGGCACAGCCACAGGAGGCCCATGTGTGTTCTTCAGTATACCTCAGGCCCTTTATCTGGTGACACCAGTCTAGATCCTAAGGACCAGCCTGACCACTTTTCTCTCTGGGCAAAGAGGGGACCCCCGGTGGAGACCCAGTGACTACCAAGGATGGCAAGTGATCTAAGAACTGGACCTGGAGTCTGGGCTGGGGCAGCAAGGGGCAGGAAGCCAGAGCCAGCCTTCAGAGCAGTGCCCTTGGCTTTTTGGGTCATGGAGCCCCTAGGCCTTCGACAGAATTGTGGACCCTCTGTCCAGTGCACTGCATCAGCACACAGGGTTTTGTATGTCATTTCAGGATTCATGGACACAGAAACCTACCAGTGGACCCCAAAGAACTCCTACTCTAGAAGCAACTGCTCTCCTTCAGGGCACTGGATCCTTCCACGAGGAGAGAAGGAAGGAAGGAAGGAGGAAGGGAAGCTGTTCCCGAGGCTGCTGGAGTCTTATTTACTGCAGTTGTCAGAGCCACGTACCCCCCATCTTCTGCATTGGCCAGGCCTGGTCCCTGGATCAGGTCAGATCAAATTATTCTTTCCCCAGATCTGCCACACACTGATGGTGCCCTTAGCAGGCACTAGGTTTGATATAACAATCACATGTTTGGCAGCACAGCATCTTCCCGGCAAGTGTGAGGTCCTGAGTTCGATCCCCAGTACGAAAAAAAAAAAAGAATCCCATGTTTGCCTAGCATGCATGAAGCCCTGGGTTCCATCCCAGCACCCCTGCTCCCAGTCATATGTGGAATCCAAAACTGCTCTCAAGAAACCAATCTCAGGCCGGGGATTTAGCTCAGTGTTTCCGCTACCTGCCTCAAAAGCGGAAGGACCCAAGTTCGAGTTCGAACCCTGGTACCAAAAAAAAGAAAAGAAACCAATCTCATATGTTGTCCAGGGTCATGCTGTATCATATGGAGTCTACAAAGGCCTTGAGAATTTGGCACCTGAGAAAAGTCTTTCTTTCTTAAAAAAAAAAAAAATCCCATAGTTTTACTTCCCTTGATTTTTTTTTTTTTACACTTGATCTTAGCCAAAAGGTCGAGAAGTGATTTTTTTTTTTTTTTAATGAACAGGAAAACTATGAAAACTAACTTACTTGCCTTTTTGCCATCGCTGCGAGGAAACTCACTATCAGATTTTGGGAAGGGGAGGATACCAAGGATTGAGCCCAGAGCCTCTCACTGAGCTATATCCCCAGTTCCTTAAAAAAAATTAAAAATATTTTGAGACAGGGTTTTGCTAAGATGCTAAATTGCCTAGGTTGAGCTCCAACTTGCCATCCTCCTGTCTCAGCCTCCCAGAGTGCTAGGATTACAGGTGTGCACCACTGTGCTCGGTGAGAATCAGGTTATCATTTACCTTAACTTGGGCTTTCTGATATAATTTATCTCCTCACATACTGCCAGGAAGAAAAATACATTTGTATTTTTTTAAAGATGTCTTTTAAGTAATTTTAAAGGTGATATAGTGACCTTGTAATATTATGAAAGGCAGAGAGAGGTAGTCAGAGAACAGAGCCTTTTGGGGATTCATACTCCTCACCCCTATTCAATAGCATAGGCCTCTCCTCCAGCTCTCTTTCTTCCTTCCTTTCTTTCTTTCTTCCTCTTTCTCTTCCTCTTCTTCTGCTTCTGCTTCTGCTTCTTTTTTGGTTTTTTGAGACAGGGTCTTGCTTTATAGTTAAAGCTGGCCCTGAACTCACTATGTAGCCCAATCTGCCCTTGAACTTGTGGCTATCCTCCTGCCTTAGCCTCCCAAGTGCTGGGATTACAGGTGGGTACCACCACACCCAGCTTCTCACTACTGATGTGAGAGCCAGGAACCTCTCTGCTCCCAACTCCTGCTATACTTAGATCTTGTATTTTATTTCTAATTTTAATGGTATAATTTTAACCAGGCAGGGATTTTTTTTTAATGTCAACTACTTCAAATCATTTTTTGGAAGCAACCCAGGCAGCTATATTAAACCCTATCTATCTTTAAATGTGCACACTCTCTTACAAATGCACATATGCACACTACACATGCACATCTGGCCTAAAGACTCCCTGGCTCTTTGCTTCCTAGAATTCTAACTCCTCTACATCCTGCCCTCTCTCAGCTAGGAGCACTATACTAGGAGCCTGGTGCAGGATGAAAACAGGACAATTCTGTAATGTAATCTCTCTCTTTCCCAAGTCCCTGAAGATCTGTCATTTTCCTACTGACATGGGGGACATAGAGAATTGGAAATGGGCAGCGGCTGCAGGCCCAGGGCCATTGTGGGAAATCTAGGAAGTCAAGAGACTTAGACCTCAGTTCCAATTCCAGCATCATCACTTTTTCCTCCTAAGAGACTTTAAGTTTCTTGACTTGTCTGAGCCTTAGTTTCTTTCCTCAAATAACAGTGAGAAAAAATACAACCTACTTCATGTAAGGATGGAAGAGCATGGAAAGTAACTGGTGTAGAGTCAGGGTATAAGTGGTCTCTGCCTTCACTGCTTCCTGCAATCACTGAATAATGACCTCAGGCCCATACTCTGGGAGGTTGTGGGTAACTGAGGGTGATATCTTAGTACCAGAAAGGGAACCATCAAAATGAGAAGTCAATATCTACCCATCTATTCACCCACCAACCTATTCACCCACCCACTTACTTGTGCACTCACGATCAACCCATCTACTTTCCCATCCCTCTACCTATCAGCCCACTTATCCATTCATCCACCAACCCACCCGCCCATCTACCAACCCAAAATCCATCCATCCATCCATCCATCCACTTACCAACTCACCATTCAACTATCCACTTACTATTCCTCTCATTTATTCATCCATCTATAAACCACAGATCCTTCTATTTATCTATCTGTCCATTTATTTAGCTATCCAGTTATCCATCCATCTATCCATCCATGGATTCATCCTTTACTCACCCAACTCAGCCATCCACCCTCCACCTATCACCTATCCAACTACTTTTCCTTAGCACCTTCTCGGTACTAATTGATAGAGAGGAAGAAAGGAAAAGCATAAAACATAATCTTTGCTTTTTTTTCAGTACTAAGTATTGAACCCAGGACCCAGGGCCTCACACATACTATGTAAGCACTGCATCACTGAGCTACAATGCTGGCCCATAATCTTTGCTTTTAAGAATTTCTGATTCCCAGGGAAAGGGGAGATATGGTTAGATAATTTTCTCATGTGTGTCCCTCCACCAGACCAGGGTACCAAAGAAAAGAAATGTGGGAAATGTTGCCAGTAAGGTCCTCCTCTGAATGACTCACTCCTCACATTATCAGCACATTAAAAGAACTGACAAGTCCTGCAGTCAGGTTCTCTTCACCACTGTGACCTCAAATGACTTGCCTCTGAAAACTATTTTAAGAGGATTGCCTGGTAAAACCCCATGGAATGAGATTGCTTCCGAACAGATTTTTGGGATATGCTGATAAACCAAGGAAGAAAGAATCAAGCATCATTTTAAAAAGCACAGAGTGGTGCTGGATTATGTCTCAAAGTATAAAACAAAAATCCATGGGTCCATCCTGATACAAAGAGATGACGGAATCAATGGACAAAGAAGAGAACATTCTCCTGTGCAGAATAATTCTGTATAATTCATGTAGATCCTCTGTCCTCAAGGAGGGGGAGTGAATTCCAACCCCGAAAGTTTGGGATGTGTGCAGTGACTTCTTCCAAAAGAGGGAAGCTTGAAGGGAGAGAAGCAGAGTCACCTCCCAGTAGAGAAGCCTGACAGATGCTGTCCTGTCCACTGCACAACAAAGGTTCAAGTCAGCAGCGAGAGGTGACACAGGCTGTGTGGACTTTGATGAGACGTGGTGGGAGCAGTGCTTTACCTCTGGGCTCATCCTCTTCAAAGAGATTCCCCCCTCTAACTTCAGAAAAACATCAGACCAATCCAGCTGTGCACCTGCTGCATACTGCCCGTCCATGCTCTGCAGAGCCAACAAGGTCATCCAAACAAGGACCATTTGAGAACACTCCCCACAGAGGGGGGTCTAAGAAATGAGGATGAAAGCTGATGTGGTACCCGGATGGGATCCTGGAATAGAAAAAAGAAAACTAAGGCTATCTGAGTACAAAACTAAGGCTATCTGAGTACTGTGTTGGGTCTACTCAATAAGCATGTACCACCAGTTGTGGTGGCCCACACCTGTAATCCCAGCACTTGGGAGGCTGAGGCAGGAGAATCACACGTTCAGGATGAGCCTGGATAATTTAGTGACTTAGCAAGATCTTGTCTCAAAAAAAGAAAGGACTGGGGATGTATCTCAGTGCGAAGGCCTTGGATTCTCAGTACCACACACACACACACACACACACACACACACACACACACACACACACGAAGTATTAATATGGGCTAATTCATTGTGACAAAAGTACCAAGTTGATACAAGCGGTTAATAATAGGGGACACTGAGCACAGAGTTGTCAGTTTGGGAGCTGTCTTACTATCTACATAATTTTTCTGCAGATCTAAAGTAAGTTTTCTGTAAATTTGAAATTTAAACATTAGTTTGAAAATAAGTAAAGTAGATAAATAAGTAAACAAAGTTTTGGAAAAGCAAAGAATGTAGCTTGGAGAAGAGCCCAGAGGACCAGTGTGTCCTGGCTTGGAGGAAAGATGTGAAATCAGAGAGGCCTGGGGTCCATACCTTTCCTACTACCTGACCTTGGACAGGTGGCTCCATGATCCTTCGCTTCAGTTCCCGTGTATGAAAAAAAGGGGATTTTTTTTTTTTGCCATACTGGAGATTGAACCCAGGGCCTTGCATGTGAGCTACCTCTGAGCTATATCTCTAGCCCTTTTGATTTTTTATTTTGAGACAAAGTCTCGATAAGTTGCCCAAGCTTACTTTGAACTCGAGATCCTCCTACCCCAGCCTTCCAAGTAGCTGGGTTTATAGGCATGTGCCACCATGCCCTGCTAAAATGAGGATTTAAAATGCCTGCTATTTGTTGATTTGGATTAGGTGAGGCAACATGTATAAAGTACTAGGCTCTAGAATGCTCTGGGACTGTTTGATTTACTGTATTATTACTCTTCCGAGAGTACATGGAAGATCTCAGAAGGCTGAAGAGAACAGGGATCTCAGCACCAAACTTTGGAGAGTGGGAAGAATTTGGATGGAGTTGGGAATGGGGATCAGTTTCCCCTGGTGCAGGGTGGTCCCTCCTTCTCTCCTTGACTCCTACTTTTGGTTCCAGAGCAGCCTACGGAGACTGGGAGGGGCTGGAGAGCTCAGGGACAGGCTCCTGGCTCCCCGCCCGGGCTTGCTCTCTGTCTGCCTGGGTCTATGGCCTAAGTAATCGCTAATTCCTCCCTGATGAAGCACCTGTACTGTAAGCAAATGAGCTGACAGGTGGTGGCCCGGATAAAATATGACCTGCTCAGCAGGGGATTTGCTTACCAGCCGGAGGCAGCCCATCCTGCTGCCTGCAGCGGGAAGCCTCTTGGATAAAGCATAAATCACTGGGCAGGTGGGAGGGCAGGAAGCATCGGAAGAGTGAATTCCTCCCTGCTCAGTCTCAGGTCACAGGCCTAAGGCCACCTTTCACAGTGGCTGTGGAAGAGAACCAGGTATGGGAATTAGGAGGCAGAGGGAGTTCATCTTGGCTCCACCTGGTTTGCTGGGAAGCCTGGGCTAGTTCCTCTCCCCCTCTGGGCCTTAGTTATCAGCTACCTCACATAGGAGAGATTTATTATGCCTTTTCCCTTTTGGGTTTGTTACATGAATCATAAGAGAAACTGTATGGAAACACACAATATTTGTTAGCATCTGTATTATTATTATATTGTTACCATGTGATTCCCACGGAAGCCCCAATTAATAGAGCTCAGGGGCTGGTAAATTTCTAGGGGGCTGGTAGCTTTAGGGAATTACCTTCAAGGCTATAGTATCTATTGGCAGAAAACTGATCAAAAGAATTTTACCACCAGGCAACATTATATACGGAAAAGCCCAGGGTCTGGGAACATAAGAGCTTGAATCTTACAGCTGCCACTGAGGAGCTGAAGGGACTTGGGTAAGTCACTTTCCCCACTGGGCCCCAGAAAAGCAGAGTGTGGTTCAGAGGTTTAAGCAGGATGACGTTTCTCTGTACCTGCACATAAATTGCAGCCTGATAAAGGGTTCATTCTTCCCCTATGTGAAGTTTGGGCTGAACCAGGCTTACAAATCAGATTTCCTAACTCTCTACTCAACTTTTCTCAGGGACCTGAGAAAGCTTTGGGGAATCTCCAGGCCTCTGTGAGTTGAATCACATTAAGGTGTCGTCCCCCCCCCCACTCCGCCCAATCAACCAAGAGACTTCCACCACCTAGACCTGGAAGAAGACCCCTTGGGAAGCGCTCCAGCCTGGGGGCTGTGGGAACTGCATGATGAAGACAGAGCCGTTTGCTAATACCATGTGGCTGCTGTGACAGTCTGTTAATGCCATTTACAACGTGCTGTAATTATGTCTCACACATGCTGGCGGCCCAGCCAGCAGGAACATTCCCTGGGAGGAGCCTAGGAAAGATTCCTTTCAGCAGGGTGGGAGGCTGGGTTTCCCTAGGAGGCAGGGGACTAGGGGGGCTGGAAGGACAACAGAATGCCTCCCTTAATCTAGCAGGACCTGGGCTTGGGAGGCTGCCATGCACACCGTTGTCCTTAGGATGTCCCCTGGGGTTGTGCACTGAACAGCCTGCCCCACCCTACTTGGCTGTCCTCAGCACCTGAGGAAGAATTTGCCCCTGCTTGAACCTGTGGTTCTCACTCTGAATTGCTATAGAACTTTGGGCAAGACATGGGTCCCCTCTGGGTCCCTGTTTCCCTGACTGTAAAGTAGGGATGTGGGGGAAGGGGAGAGAAATGTACTAGAGTAGTAATTCACATCCAATCAAAATGTTTTCTGCATTTTCAGGGGACTCTCAGGTCACTGAAGTCCACTGAGAAGCTCCAAGGAGCCTAGGTCAAGAATCTCAATCTAGATCACTAAGGATCTTCTGCCAGCATATTCCAGCCTGTTTCCCCATCTGGGCTTCAAGGCTACTGTCTGCCAGATGTTGCTGCCATGTTGTTTGGTGCTTAGGTGTTAATAACAGCTAGCTGCTCACCTGGATTGGGCTTCTTATCATCCAGTGCCCAGGTTGGGCTCTGAATGCTTCTTGCCCTGAATTTAATGGGCCAGCTAATTCCTGCAACACTGCCCAAATGCTGGCATCCAAGGTTCTTGCCATTTGGTGATGCTTAATGTTTTCTAGGTCTCATAGAAAGAGGCCAGCTCTGCAGCCAGACAGGTCAAAGAAAGTCTCTCTCTGTACTTCCTTGGTGGTGAAACACATGCTTTCTCTGAGTCTTCTGAGTTTCCCTTTCCAGGAAGTGGGTTGTCATCAGAGTCAAATAAATCTACATCCCTCAGGTGCCTAGAACAGAGTGGACATTTAATACATGTCAATTTTTCTGCTACCATCACCCCAGCACCCCACAGAGCTCAGCTCCTCCTCTTCCTTCTTGGAGGTGGCTGAAAACAAGTCCTGGGGAAAAGCTTTCAGGACCGGGGGAAGCCTGTTTCCAAGTCATTAGTCCCCCGGTGTTGGGCTGCAGGATGGATTTTGATCAAGAGCAGGGTGACATTTGGCAAAAGTTGCTGATGAGGGATTGAATGATTAATCGTCATGACAACCAGGCTGGAGTAATGACAGGGATGTGATGGTGCCCGAGTTAAACACAATGCGGCCCCGTGAGCCGGGGCGGTAAATTACTAGGCATGTCACTGCTGCGCTTTTGGAGAAAGCGGCCGTGCGTTCCTAATGAGAGGTTAACTGTGTCCCCAAAGTAATTACAGCCGATTGAAGAGGTGGCTGGTAATTAGAGGATTAGCAGCGATGAGGCTCACCTGCGTGGTTGCCATAGTGATGGAGGTGGGTGGGGCCAGAAGGCGAGGAGGGTCCAGATCTTTCCCCAAGACAGGTGAAGGGGCCTCCCTGATTCTATCGGCTTGGTGTCCACCACCGCTGAGACCGACCCTGGGGAACTGGTGGGAAGCTCCGAGGCTCAGTCTTCCCATCTCTAAAACTGAGGCCTTGAACCCATTCAAGGATATGAAATATCGAAGCTGAAATTCTGAGACCAGCTAGCAGCAGACCCCAAATAATTTCCGATCTGCCATCCCCCCTCCAAGGCCGGCACTGCTGAAACCCAGGGAATCCCATGTAAATTCCGCTTCTTGGCTAATCATGAACCTGTTTCCTCACCTTTAAAACGGGAAGAATAATTATGTTGCTTTCTTCCAAGGATGAAGAATAAAATGAAACCCTAACTCTGAGCACCAGGCGGGTGCCCGGAAAGAGCTCAAGGAACGTTCACAGTGACAGTCACTTTTACAGGGTAGCTAGAGACAGGGTGGAGACGGGGGCCTCAGCCTTCTGTTGGGGAATGAGCGGAGCAGTCCCAAGAGTAGCAGATGACAGGGAACCCTAAGGGAAAGAAGGAGGTAGGTAGCGCTTGCTGTGCATCTTTTGTTAAATCCCATGGTCCCTCTGAGCCTTCCAGTCTCACCTGCCTGACCATTCTGTCGGGAGAAAGAAATGAAATATTGGATTTATGGAGTACTTACTACATATTACACCCTCACTAGGTGCTTTATAGCAATTATTTAATTTGATCCCATAAAACATTACTTTGCCCTTTTGTTGGGGGGTGTACCGGGGATCAAACTCAGGACCTTGCGCTTGCAAAACAGGCACAGTGCCACTGAGCTAAATCCCCCGCCCTACTTTGCCCATTTTTGACAGAAGAAAAACCAAGGCTCAGAAAGGTGAAATATGTACTCCAGAAACACACAGCTGGAGCATAGGAGAATTAAAACTCGAATCCAGGTCAGACCAAATCCCTCCCACTTTCTGTCACATCACTGTCCTTGCTTATCCCAAGAAGCTAGGCCCATTAAAGCTAAGGAATGGTCACAACCTCTATGGGCGGAGCTTCAGAGAACTCTCCCGGGATTGGCCAAGGCTTTTATGACATCACAAGGGCGGGGCAGTTTCCTTGACCCGCATAGGCAGCTGCCTGAGCGGCTGGTGGAATCTCCACACAGCAGGGGCAGGTGTAAGATGCTGAGGTTGGGAGGTGACAGTGAAGGTTCCAGATCTGTCTGTCCCTAGCTTAGCTGCTGGCAGCGCATGCCTCTATGAACCCACCGAGCGCAGTGGCTTAATTATTCCATCCATAAATGATAAGCCCCGTTCATTTCCAGTGCTTCATGACAAATTTATGGCCCTATTTAATGTGCTCGTTGCCTGACCTTCCCAGGGACCATGGGGAAACCCAGGCCTTTTCTTGAGGGTGCAGCAGGAGATTCTTGCTGAGGTATCCACTGGCCATGTGCCTCTTCCCACTGTCCCCAGAAGCTGTGGGGCCTCTGATCCCAGGTGGCCTGCCCCCGTGCAGTTTACAAACCCATTTTTCTCTGCTTTGCTTCACTGTGGAAGCACTGGAGTTTAAAAGGTAAGAACAGAGGATCTAGCCAGGCATGGTGGCCCATGCCTATAATCCCAGCACTTAGGAGGCTGAGACAGGAGGATCAGTGGGAGTTTGAGGTCAGCCTGAGCTACATAGTTAAGACCCTGTTAAGAAAAGCTAAGGTCAGGAGATCTTGACAAAATGGCTCAGGTTCAATCTTGACTGCTACTTTTGCGCATATGACCTTAAGCCTGAGTTTTGTCTCAGCTTCCTGCTTAGGAAGATGAAATGAGCTAAAAACAGACAGGAAATGCTAAGTACGTACTCAAGGCAGGGAAGTGCCTCCTCTTACTTGGGGTTTTCACATACAATTTCATTTGATTTAATTTTCTGGGGGTGGGGAGGCACTGCTTAGGGGCCTGGTGACCCTGAGATGGATCACATGTGGAAGTAGAGGAACAAAGCCTGGGCCACAATGCTGTGTTTCTGCTCTGAGCAGAGAAGCCCATAGACAGTGCTGGCTGCAGGGGCTCAGCCTGGAGTCACCAGGGCCTGGGTTCCACTGTCAGCCTACTCCTGCTTGGGGCTGGTCAGGGTGACTCATGCAGCACCCTGGGCCTAGCTTTCCTCATCTGTCCCCAGGCCTGCATTCACAGTTACCACAGGCCAGAGGGTCCAGCACAGGCCAAGAATAGCCGAATCACCACCTGGGGGCTGATTTCTGGAACCTCTAAAGGGCCCTCCAGTCCGAATGGCTGACTGAATCTGAGGCTGATGGAGGAAAATCATAGAGCCACAGGGCCTTGGATCGGGCAGCAATCTCAAAGAGTACCTCTTCCACCCTGGATTGTCACCACTGAAGAAGCTCAGGGCATAGCTGCTATCATGTATTGAGTGCTTATTGTATATAAGGCACCGAGGGCATAGCTTGCCATCCATTGTCTCAGTCAGTCCCACCTCAACCAAATATGGGCCAGGTGTGGCTCACTGCATTTTGAAAAGGAAAAAAACAGAGGCTCAGAGAGGTACAGAGACTTGGGCAAAGCCACATGGCACCATCCCATGTGCCTGCACTATGGGAGTCTGCAAATTGGTGCATGCATTTCCATGCTAGTATGAATGTTGGTGCCCATGCATGTGCTGTTGTGTGCATGTGTGCAACGTGCCATACCTGTGTGCATCCTTCATGGAACATATCTCCCGACTACGCGTCCAGTGCTGTTTTGCCTGGGCACCTTTAAACAAATAGCTTGTTGGAAAAGGAAACCTTTCAGCCTTGGGAGATCCTGGCTTCCCAGATCTTCAGAAATTAACTTAATTTGCATGCTCATTTGCATGACAGGGCAGTTCTTCCCTCCACAAGCAGCCCCCATTCTGGCCAGGGGACGATGACACTGACCCTTCCACTGCCCATAACTCTGCCACTTGCCACCCACTGCTGGTGTGGTTCGTGTAGTCCCTCATCCCTGCCAGGTCAGTCTGCCAGCAGGTGGCAGAGCCAAGTTCTGGTTCTCAGCCTGGGGACTCCAGATCCAGTGCCCTTTGCACACTTCCTTCCTGCCTGCAGCCTCCAGGTGGACGTGGAAGCGTGGGCAGTCAGGATGGGGGTCAGGGAGAAGAGCTGCAGAGCTTGTTCCTTGACATGCTGGCTCAGGAGGGGGCGGAAGCAGGCTTGGGGGAGGGAGGGAGGGGCAGGAGGACTCTGTGTTTTTATGTGTGCATGCATGTGTGTGCATTTGTGTGTGTCAGGAATACATAGCTGTGGAAGAGTATGTTTACTGAAAAAATGACTCAGAGCCTACTCTGCTTCAGGCACATAAACAGTAATAATAACTACATAACAATATACATCTAATGCTTGTGGTGCACCAGGCAAGTGGGTTCCATGAACTCATCTAATCCTTGAAACAATCCTGTGCTATATTATGGTTACCATGCCCCCCTTACATGTGGGAAAACAGCACAGAAAGGTAAAGTAACCTGAGCAAGGTCGCACAGCTGGTAAGTGGCAGGGTTCAGAGATGCTGTCTGGGCCCATGGTTCACAGACCCAACCATTACCACTCAGGAGACCTTGGGTATCCCAGCGTGGTAGAAATATGTGATGGTGTGTGCACACCTGTTACATATGTGTACATGTGTGTGTGCATGAGTGTCCATGTACATGTATTTGCCCACACATGATAGTCACTTCCTGTATATGCATATCCATGTGAAGGTGGCTGTGTGTACACAAGGGATGTGGCTGTGTATATATGTGTGAATGTGTGTGTGCGTGCAGCTGCTGTGCCTGCACATATGTCCATTTGAGTGTGTGTACAGGTGTATGAGAGGTTGGAAAATCGCATCCCAGAGCCAGGGATTTGGCTCAGTGGTTCTGGCGCCTGCCTTGCAAGTGCAAAGTCTCGAATTCTATCCTTAGTACCAAAAAAAAAAAAAATCACATCCCAGCTCAGCCTCACTGCCAGTGGTCTGAGAGCCCTGTGAAGGTCAGGGTCATACAAGGAGGGAGCAGGGTGGGTCTTTGGGTAGCCAGGGCCTAAGAGCTCCTGTTGCCTGGATGGGGAAAACGGGGCTTTCCAGCTGCACATACCCATCACCCTGCCTCCAGGAGGCATTAATAATAGATCAGCAAATCCCAAATGTAAATAGGGCAATCAGGCCCAAAAACACAGGCATTCATCACCCAGATACAAATTATGCTGCCGGCCTTGATGTAATTACTGGAGTTCAGCTCAATGCATTGAGCCACCCCTGCATATTGCTTTGTGCTGATGCCCTCTCCTGAGGAGGCCCTACCACCTGATCCTGCAGGGTCTCTCTGGCCATGGGCAAGGGTCTCAGCTGTCTCACACAGCCAGGAGGACAGAAGATCCCTTAAATCCTATACCTTGACAGCAGAGCTTCAAAGATCGTGGAGGGAGGTGCACCAGACAATGAGTCAGATGCCTGGTTCTTGTCCCAGCTTTAAAGTCACTTGCTGTGTGACCCTGAGTAGGTCACTTACCCTATCTGAGTGTCAGTTTCCTCTTCTGTCCAAAAGAAATAACAATACAGTATAAGTATTAGAGTCTTTGGGCTTTGTGGTAAGAAGGGCTTGGGTTTGAATCCCAACCTTATCACTCGAGTTAGTACACCTTAGGCAGGTGTCTTCCCCATTCCAAGACCCAACTTCTCCAACTGTAAAGTGGGTATAATAATGCCTATATCCATGGTGTTATTGCAAGAAATTAATGAAATAATATTTTGTTCTTTTCTTTGATGAATTTGACTCATTTACATTTATTGTGATTATAATATATATAAAATATCCTCAACATAACAAAAACCTCTCTCCATATCTGAATCACCCTATCTACCTATCATATACATATATTGTAAATTATGTGGCTGGACTTTCTTTCCACATTTGTTTGGGTTTCCTATTTATCAGGCTTCCTGCTGTTTCCTTCTTTTCTGTGGAGGTTTGCTGGTTATGTATTACCCTAAAACTTTGTGTCTCGACACCACCTGCATTTAGTATCTCAGTGTTACTGTTGGCCAGGGGCCTGGGAGTGGCTTGCCTAGGTGGCTCTGGCTTGGTGCTGCAGGAGGGTGCAGTCGAGAGGCTGGCCTGGGTCACTGCCATCTGAAAGCTCCACTGGGACTGGAAGTTGCATCCCCAAGGGACTCCTTCCACATTTTTCCCCAAGAGGATCTCTCCTTTGGGTGACTTGAGTGTCCTCATGCTATGGCAACTGACTTCCCCTGGAGAAAACAATCTTCAAGAGCAAGACGGAGATTGCAATGTCTTTAGTGACTGAACCTTGGCAGTCACAATAGGTCACTTCTGCACTTGGAGCCCCAGCTAGCAGATCTCTCTTCTGTTAGATTGAGCCATCATGGGTGTAAATTACCTAGCTCAGGCACCAGAAGAAATTCATTCATCTCTGTGGCCTGTATGCCCAGCGCTGCACCTGGCATAAAGTAGGTGTCAGCAATAATGTGATGGCAAGATGAGGCATTTGTCAGAGCAAAAACTGGTCCTTTGAAAAGCCATTTCCTAGAAGCCAGTGGGCCACTCAAAGCCCATGCTGTTTGTCCTTGCCACTGCCCAGGCCTTGGCTTTGGACAGGCTGAGGCTGTAAGGCCAGGAGCCTTTGCTTTCTCAGAGGCAGAGAGAAAAGTCTAGCCCAAAGGCATTTTCCAGGCCTGTCTCATCCTAACTTTACATTGATCAGTAATTAAACACACCCTCCAATTACTATAACATTTGGTGAGGCACCAAGCTCATGTAAAACCTCGCAGTAAACATCTGCTTTATAAATTGCCTCTCAAGCAATGCACCAACAGGGTTCATGGGGGTGGGGAGATGGGGAAGCAGAGAGCTGGCAGAGGGAGGAGAGCCTTGGGAGAGAGACACAAAAAGAGGGGTGAGAGAGGAGAGAAAGAGGGGAGGTGGGGGAGACTGTCCTTCCAAGAAGCAGTGGGACAT